CAACAAAAGGGGGCAGGGTCTGCAACCCCAAAAAAAAAAAAAAAAAAAAAAAAAAAAAAAAAAAAAAAAGACTTAGCCTATCCGCACAAAAAAGTATTCTTACCCAGGGTCCAAGGGCCCACATTCAGAGGTTAAGTATGCCCAATGTGTGCAGGGCAGGGCAAAGTAAAATGTGCTGTGTCTGCTGTTTTATTTTGGTCCCAGGGGTTGAACACAGGGCCTCACACATTAAGACAAACACTCCACCAGAGCTGCACCCTGTGCCTTTTTAAAATTTCAGAACTGGCCCTGCACTCACCATGTAACCTAGGCTGGCCTAGAACTCACAGTCATCCTCTTACCTCAACCTCCTGAGTGCTGACATCATAGGCATATGCCACCACACCCACGTTAACATTTTATTTTGAGACAAAGTTTTGCTAAATTGCCCAGGCTCGGATCAAATTTGCAATCCTTCTGCCTCAGCCTCCTAAGAAGCTAGAATTATAGGTATGTACCACTACACCCACCCAGTTTTTGTTTTGTGGAAAGAGGTTTTAAGGCTTTCATCAAAAATGTTAGAGGCTGGTAATTTAGCTCAGTCGTTCTGCTGCCTACCTCACAAGCACAAGGGTCAGAGTTGGATCCCCAGTACCCCTCCAAAAAATTTTTTTTCAGGACTGCCCTTTGTGTACAGTGTGGAGCAGTCTAAAACTCTTGGCTCCAGGGTCCCTGCAGACCACACTAAGAATCCTCTTTCTCACCTTTGAGGACAGAATCCTCCAGGCGCTCAGCCATCTCATGGCATTGCTGCTGGTATTCAGGGCTAGTGAAGCAGTGCTTGGGTTCTGCAAGCTTCCGCTGCAGCCGCTCCAGGCGCTTTTGCTCCTTCACAGCATCCCGCTCAGCTTGCTGTTTAACCCATTCAGCCATTCTGGGAAAGGGAAAGATGAGATCTAACTGAATGGACACAGTATGTATATAAATGTTGTTATGTTCATACATCACATAGCATTTCAATCAAGACAAGAGCACATGTGTGACAGTGGTCCCAAAAGAGTGTAACAAAGCTGAAAAATTCTTATAGCCTAGTGACACATTAGCCATACTAGTAATACATGACTGGATATACAAAATGTCCCCTAGACAAATTAATGAACTTTCAAATTGTGGTATTTCCCTAGAGAGATGTGCTATGCTTAATTCTAGGATACTGTATAAATTTAACTAAAACCCAAAGATAATTATTAAATTATGGGAAAGATTAAATCTAACAAAAGCTACAATGTAACTAAGTTTATATTTCTGATATGCATGGCACATGTACAATTCACTATCAATCGGAAAATATGCTGCCGGCTTCAAAAAACAGTGGGTACACACCAAGTTTAAAAATCACTATTGTTTCTCATGTGAGAAATCCTGTCTTAGTTATGCTGCTGAGACAAAATACTTGACATTCAAAGTTAAAAGGGGAAAAGTTTACTTAGCTCACAGTTTGTAGAGATTTCAGTCCATAAATGGCTGGATCTAAGGCACACAGGCATTGCAGAGCAAAAAGCAAGCAAGGGACCTTACCAGCATCTTTCTGCCCCTTTTATCTTATCCAGGTTACTGAGGGTGGTTAGCACTCATACCCTTAATCCCTGTGCCCTTGAACCTAGCACTGCACCATGAATCAATTCCAGTGCCATACATTCTGTATCCAGCCCCCTCTGAAAAAGCCCCACCTATGACTGCAGGAGGCTTTGGGGACATCTAAACACAAACTATAATAAACCCTAAAGGTAAATATGGAGCAAAATGGAGGGTAGATATTGGAAAGTATGAAGAATATGTTCAAATAGGAAGGGGAACAAGGGAAGGAGGAAGGGAAGGGAAAAGGGATTAAAAAAAGAATAGAAGAATAAAACAGCAACAAAGCTTTTGTAAATGGGGAATGGAAGAAGGGTTGAAGGGAGGGGAGTGGGAAAAAAGAATTAAGATACACATACACGAGAGCACTGTGTACTGAGTAAATATGTACTAATAAAAAACTTAAAATAAAAAAAGGTAGGTACGGGCAGACGATTTCACTCAGTGGCACTCTGCCATCCTTACAAGCACAAGGCCCTATGTTCGATTCCCAGTACCAAAAAAGTGGGGGGGACTGTCTCACGCTTTTTCATGATTGACATCTCGCAATCTCCTTCCACTAAGGTCGCGGCAAGCTTCCCGATTGGTTGTCTTCTCAATCTGAGCACCAAGTGCTCGGAGCATAGATCCAAAACCTGTGCCAAGGTATTGAAAAACAGATTAAAACGTGTCCAAGGATGAATACAAGTCAAATTTGTGAAAACAGTCTGGATCAGAAGATTAAAATGATTTCTACATTCTTTTTTTTTTTTTTAAAGAGATAGACACAAAGGTTCTAACCCAAGCAAAGAGGGAAAAGGATTGATAAATCTGATTTATCCTCATGCCTTTTACCTCTCATTTCATATTTGTAGAATACTATACTGTAGGATTTTTTTTTTTTTTTTTTTTGTACCAGGGATCAAACTCGGGACCTTGCACTTGTGAGGCAGATGGCAGCACCACTGAGCCAAATCCCCGGCAAGTGTGGGATATTTTAAGGGCTATAGCCAGAAATACCAAGAGTGGCAGATTAAGAATTTAACAACTACGTGGTCAGGTTTTTTAATGGGTTTAAAAGGATAGGCAACTTGAAGCTGTCAGTGGCATAAGACATGCATCACTCATAAATTCAATTCAAACAGCAGGATAAGGACAGGAAAAAAAGATTAAGAAAATTTAATCCAGTTGTTCATCCAGTTAAACACTGAGAACTATCCACACTCTGTTTCCATTCTTTTCATTTCTTTTCTCTTCTTAGATGTATAAATACAACTAGGACTTACTTACATTAACCTATAAACAATTATGTTTCCTAGGGTGATTTGAGGTCAATCCTTTGAACAATGATAAGGAGACAAAATACTGATAAAAGTGAAAGTATGTCTGTTTATTCTAAAGCTCACTCTTCAACAAACTGGATAGACTAATGGTCACCTTTCTTCATCTAATCTTCCCCAAAGCTTTACAACCTAGGTTCCAAGGCGGGGGATTTAGCTCAGTGGCACAACGCCTGCCTTGCAAGTACCAGGTCCTGAGTTCAATCCCCGAACTGCAAAACGAAACAAAACAAACAACCTAGGTTCTCTAAAAGCAACCATTGAAGAAAGTGGGATTTGTATTATGCAAATCTGGGTTTTTCCCCCCTCTTTTCTTTCTCTCTTTTTTTTTGGTGGGGGGGTTTGAGACAGGGTCTCACTATGTAGTTGAGACTGACCTGGAACTCACTCAGTATGTAGCCCAGGATAGTCTTAACTCACAGCAATCCTCCTGCCTCAGCCTCCCGAGTGCTGGGATTACAAGCATGCACTACCCTGCCCAGCTTTCTTTTTTTTTTTTAGAAAGGGTCTCACTTTGTATTCTAGGCTGGCCTTGATCTCATGGCAAGCCTCCTGCCTCAGCCTCCTGAGAACTGGGATTATAGGCATGCAGCACCATGCTTGGCTATACAATTAATTTCTTCCTCAAAAAGACTAAGAAGAAGAAAAAGAGACAGAAAACGCTCCAACACCTGTAATCCCAGCACTCGGGAGACAGACACGAGGATTGCCATGAGTTTGAGGCCAGCCTGGGCTACACAGTAAGTTCAAGGCCAGCCTGAACGACAAAGCGAGACCCTGTCTCAAAAAAGAAAGAAAAGAAAGAACACATGCACGCACTCTAAATTAGGTAATGAAGTATCTCATAAAGCAAAACAGACTGGTATACAACCGAAAGCAAGGAGTTGGTTAATCTAAAACATAATGTTAAAGATTACAGAGGTGTTACAACCAAGTAATGAACATTTGCTTCCTACCTCCTTTCCCACCACGAAGTCTAGGTTCCAGACTATAAACAGCTCCATGCTGTACTGGGCCACTGGTGCTAATAAGTGCTCCGTTGCACTTCACAAAGAAGCATTCCACAGGTACATCCTAGAGACAAGTTTGCATCTTTTAATGCCTTTTATGACATAATAAAGTTTCTTATCTTTTTGCTACTCCACTTACAAGCAGATGGTGTGTTCGATTAATATGTGAACTGAATATTAAAACTACTAAAAGAAAAGAGTCATTTCATATGACATATTGCGGATACAGTTTTTTCCTAGTATTATCTAATCATAATACACTGAACTTTCAATCTTTTTTTAACAAAAAATAAAAATTATTTATTTTTCCTTTTCTAATAGGCCATCTGTGTCATACACATAACTCCAGAGGTCATCTCTTCTGATTTTTTTAAACAGGAAAAAGCAACCTAACATCAAGACTGGCCTCCAAATTTAAAACCAACAGTAAAAATCCTGAGAAGTGTGAGTAGGTATAAGAAGAAGAAACGGCAGAGAAAAGAATATGACTTTTTTTCTTGTTCTGCAGTATTGAGGGGTGAAACCCAGGACCACATGCATGCCAGCTAAGCACTCTACCACTGAACTACACACTTTCAAGACCAAAGGCATATTTTGTTTTATTTTGAGGTAGAGTCTCACTATGTAGCTCAGGTTGCTTTCAAATTTAGGATGTTCCCTCCTGTTTCAGCCTCCTGAGGGCTGGGATTTTAGGGGTGTACTGCCATGCCCCCTCTAAGGGTATGGTTTTTAATACATTATATAAGCTTCCATTTTTAGGATCAGCCAGGAGTGCCTGTCTCTTCTGCTAACAACACCAACTTAAAGCTTGTCATTAAGCAAGTACCCCATACCCACTGTGTATATATCAAACACTGTCAGATAAAATAATGAAAATAAAATATACAAATTGTCTTTCTAAATGAGTTTCTGATGCTGAGAGGAATATTCAAATTTCTATGGAACTAGAAGTACAGTTAAATCTACAGTATCAGGAATAAAGAAATCCAAACAACAATGGTGAAGGAAAATGCATTATTGGTATCTTCCTGAAACAGAAACTCAACAATTCTGAGTCATATCACATGGCTATTTCAAAGAGTCTTTCATTCATTCAACTATTAAATAAATAAGTGCCTACTACTAGTCCAGGTATTTTTCAAATGTTAGGATACTATAGCAAACGAACAAACAAAAAAAATCTCATGGTAACCAAAAGATCTTTAAAATTAGTATTTTTTTCTTTTAAAAATATACTGCTTCAGCTGGGTGTGGTGGTGCACACCTGTAATCCCGGCATTCAGGAGGCTGAAGCAGGAGGATCTCTGTGAGTTCAAGACCAGCTTGGGCTACATAGTGAGTTCCAGGTCAGTCTCAACTACATAGTGAGACCCTGTCTCAAAAAAAAAGTGTGCACACACACACACACACACACACACACACACACACACACACACACTGCTTCTCCAAACTGTTTCATGATGAGGGCGTATGGCTACCCCTTCTCTCTTCAGCTCAGGTGGACAAATGCTGGTCCCAAGAGGCTGGGATCCAGTTTCATTTCCACAAGAAAAAGAAGAAGCCAAGAACCAGAAGGGGAAAAGGAATGAAACAGCATGGGCACATCGTTTTCTCACTGTATTTCTCCTCTCTTCTTTACTATAAAAGCCTTTGCACATTTTGAGGTGGTAATCTGAGGCAAAAAGAGACTCCTCCATCTCTTTTACAGCTAGCTAGCTTTGAATAAACCCTTTCTTTGTCAAAGATTGTCTCATGTTCTTGGGAAGGTGGACCACTACCTCATCAAATACCCTTTTATAAATGATTTTTTCCCTCCACTTTTTTGTTGCTTATACAGATTAATGGGTTTCATTTTGGCAGATTCATACATGCACGTGACATATTTTGATACCCACTCCCCTTTAACTCCCTTAAGAGTGCTATTTCTATTCACATTTGCTATGATTATGTTTCTTAACTAAGAAACAGAATCCAATTTTATTTCTTGATTATTTTAAAATTCTGATTCTCAGCTTGGCATGGTGGTACACACCAGCAATCCCATTACTCCAGAGGTGATAAGAGACTACACAGCAAGTTTAAGACAATTCCCTGGACCATGTTTTTGCCTCAATAAAACAAAACCAAAAACCTTATTCTCAACACTCTTTTTAGTTAAGATTCTATTTTTTCTGGTCTCACTTTGGATTAACGGTAATTAAATTTACATACTGTATTCACACGAATTATTGTCAAATATACTGTCACCTATTTCGAAAATAGTTCCCCATCTAGACAGTCAAAAAAGTCGTTTTTACCCTGAGTTGCAATGAAGAAAGAAAAATGAGGAAGGTGAAAAGCCACATATTTGCCAACACACAATGCTTATCATGGATCTGATCCAGGTCTTCTGGAAATCTGTACTATTAAGATTTGTTAAGCTTATAAATAACAAGCAGAGAGAAAGCATATAGAAACACAGATGAGGCGTGATTACAAAGGGAAAAAGTTCTAGATCAAGAGCCAAAATTCAAATCAGACTCAGGGAAATCACTAAATTCTTTAGATTACTGACCGGGTTTAATAATTCGTAGGTGGTAAAAGTCTGCTTGAAAATTTAGTAAAAAACACAGAAGTAATTTTAGGGCCTTGAAAAGTTTTCATACATTGTCAAAATGACAAGTAATTTTAGGGCCTTGAAAAGTTTTCATACATTGTCAAAATGACTATGAAAACACGTAACAGGTCTCGCGAACCCATGGTCTCAATAGGACACGTGTAAGTGGTTGGCCCCAATTCATTTCTCTCCACAGGTGCCCTTTTGCCTGGATTTGGTTATGACATATAGTACTTGTCTAGGCAGAAGCTAATGGGGCTGTGTGACAAAATACACCTCATCTACCCATAGTATAAACGTAAGGACATGAGTCCTAAATGTCCAATCTCATTTATGGGTAAAAAGTAGAACCAAAGTGTTTGCAACAGAGGGCTGGACTAAGCATCTGAAACGAGACGCTTTTTTTCTTTCTGTGGAGTAGCAAAATGACCACCGCCACAAAACAAAAGCAAAGTCAGTCCCAATATTATCTGGCAACATCTTAAAACTGGACAATCAGTGCCAAAACTTAAAAACCCAGAGAAATGTCGTACCTGGGCAGATCTCCCCCTCAGCACCCAGCCCCGCCCCCAGGCCGCCCTGTTCCTTTTCTTCCAGGAACCGCTATCCTCACCAGATGCTGGCAGTGTCGGTGGATAACGTCTCCTACGGAGAACCGAGCCGGGGTACAGTACACTGCCTTGCAGCTGCAGCCGGGGCCGCGAATCCACACAAGCGGCCCTGTTTCCTCCATTTTCACCTACTCGGGAACCCACAAAGCGACGGAAACGCTCGGCACGGTGACTACACACCGGTCGCTCCCGGATGACGCCACACTCGCCTTCCGGCGCCCCGCCCCGCCCGTCCATGCGAGCCCCTCCCTTCGCCTGGGGCTGTCACGTGAGGCTGGCCGGGCCGGGGAGGGAACGCGAAAGACCTGGCTGAGGCGGATAAGGCTGCTGAGCTGGAGGGCCTGACGTTGCTAGGAGCAGTTGCTAAGGCGGGGCTCGGGGGACTGGCTATAAAGGGTTGGCGCTAGGCTGGGTTTCGAGCGTTTTTGCTAGCAGCGATAAAAAGGGTGGGGAGTACGGCCCTGGGCCTTGGCCTTCTTCCTCGCATCTGTGTAGTTATTTTCGGGTCCTGGAGCATTGTAGCCTGAGAGCTTCCTGGAGGCACGGGGAGTGAGGCTCCGGTCTGGACGCATGTGGTGGAGGTGGTGCTGCCTTCACCCGGCGAGCGACGTACACATGCGCACCCTCACACCCTCGAGTCACTAGGCAGGCGGGCCCCAAACCGCAGCCCACAAGCTTTTTCCCCGCGTTTGTAGGACGTCCTCTTGCTCTCGGAAAACAGCCAAGCCCTACTTCCTGCCGGCCACGCTCGGTGTGTGCTCATTTCTGCCCGAGTGTGCTCTACGTTGTTTCCTCTTCAACCCTGCTTTCACAGTATTTCACCGCAAGTAGGCCCTTGTGAAAGACGCCGGTTCGAGTGACGTTGGTATTCACTGTGCTTCCACCCTACTTGCTGTGGCGTTTGTTCCGCACCTGGAAGCCGGCTCGTGCAGATCTAAGGGACTCGAAGCCAGGGCTTCAGCAGTGGGAGGGAGCCCTTAATATTTCATATGTGGTGATCGCGGTATTTCTAAAGTCCTACACAATTTAAAAGAGGCTGAGTGTGACGTTAGAAGGGTTGTCAGGCATTGTCCGTGCCGCCTAATCACAAGTGAATTGCTTTCTCAGCTGTTAAGAGACTGTCAAATATGCCTGCGGGGTGGGGGGGGAGCAACAAAAGAGTCAGAAATCATTTATCTGTAGCGGAGTGAGCAAAAATTGAATCCCAAGGCCTGTGAAGTTAAGATTGTGTTTATTTCATTCAGAAGGAAATGTGAGACAGAAAAGGCCTCCATGATGATTCCATCAGATAAAGAACATAAAATATGTTGTGCTGAGAAGTAGTATTTTACAAAGGGGATGTCCTGCTGACCCTAGGATACACAGGTGTTTTACCAGCCAAACGCAAACCAGTGAGCTCTGTAATCTCCCCGGGTCTTCATCCTCAAGGATCCTACATAAGTAATCTAGAGCCCTGTGCCTTAATTCTTTCTTGTTCGTGATTTCTACTTTCTGGGGATCCAAAATGGCTACTTCAGGCCCACTGTGGTAATCCCAGCTACTCTAGAGTCTGAGGCACACCCAGCCTGGGACACATAAGGAAACTAAAAATGTTAAGGTCTTGCTCAGCAAGTAGCTCAATGCAAGGACCTGGGTCTAATCCCCAATACCCCCCCAAAAAAAAGAAAAAGAAAAAAAGGATCCAAAATAGTTACATGGAGAATCTAGGGTCTTCCTCCCCTGCAAATAACAAGATAAAGGTCAGTATGTTTACATAATATTTTTGTGTCAAGATAATACATTTATTTGATAAGGATTAGTTAAACCCTTCTAATTCTTAACATATCCAGCCCTCTTCAAATTTAAAGTCTGAATGGAATTATAGCCCTCTGTTACGTTTAAATTTCTGCTTTAAAAGTTCCAAGTGTTGAATAAGAATTTGTCATTTAAAATACTAAATAGAATAAGATGTAGATATGTAAAAATATATAAACTTATTAACCTTTCAAAGACAAGTTTTGTGAGCAATATATAAGCCACTGTTAAACCTTCACAATACATACCCTTGCACCATACACAGAACAGATGTTAAGTAAGAATTGGTTGACTATCTGATGAATTACTAAGGTAGTAAACTTCCCAGTGTACACCTAAACAAAAATATTTTGCACTGATATAAAATATTCTGTCCTAAGGATGCAGAATTCAACTTGGATTGCTCACTGTGAAATTCATTTAAATAATGAGAGAAATTGAGGTAACAAGTTAAGGCTACAGTCAAGAATATGGTACATATTAGTGGATAAAAATCTACAAAGACAGCAGATTAGCTGGATTACAGAGTATAGTACAAAAGGGGTGTCTAGTACCCAGTGCTATGTGGCCAGCCTGGTCAGTGATTATAAAAAAGAACCACTACTGCCACCTTCCCCACCTCATGGTGTCAGGAGGGGAAGGGCCAGCAGAACACATGTACAAATTATGACAGTTCAGTGGTGTGGGGTAGAGCCAGTTCCTCTGTTGTCAAAACAGTGCAGCCTTGCTCTTAGGACCTCATTTGGTGTTCTTTCCAGTAAACCATACTGGCTTTGCTTCTCGTGTACCCAAAAGAATGACTCCAGCTGTACATTTGCTTTTTGAAGACTGGCTCAGCCAGTGAGAAATACACTAGGAAGCATCCTGAGGCAACAAGAAATAATTGTTCCCTGCCAGTAAATGCAGAACTAGAGAGGCAATGCCTGTGTAGCAACTCATGACAAGGCTCGACTGAGCCAAATGTCCTGCTGGTCTGGAAGAACAGGAAGTAGAGCTGCACACTGGCAATTTCCGTAAATAGCCAGTCTCTTAAACCAGTGAGCCTACAGACTGCACACGTGTGTGATATGGAAGTTGCACTTCTGGGCTTTCATGCCCAGAGAATAAAGGAAGATGTTCATACTGTCTTTATTAAAAAAGCAGTGCCTCCTGTGCCACAAAACAGCCACAATCATCCAAACTGGCAAGGAACAACAAGGTCAGCTCTTAAAATGGAGAAACAGCTTCTGGGTAAGAGCTGCATAGTCCACACCCTGGTGGGCAGTGTAGGAGGTGGAGCCTAGAGCAAGCCCCAAGGTATTTGGCTACCAGTGAAGGCAAAACCCCACCCTCTTTCCTTTTATTGGATGGAAGAGGACACATCAAGGATGAGGTGGAAAGGGAGGAAGAAGAGGCTAGTGTTTAAGCACTGATGCTGGTAAGGAGCAGGAGAGAGCAGGAAGACAAATATAGGTGCAGGGTGGAGATAAAAGCTGACTCTCAGCCAGTGCTTACTACAGAAGCTTGCCTCTTTGTACTAAGGTGTCAACAAGATGAAAGGCGCTTCCTGCGGGGTGACTTCCGTAGATAATGCCAGCACTCCTAACTGTCCTATCACCGAGTCTGCATTAGCGCGACAGCACTACTTCACAACGTCTTTCAATTTTCATTCTCACCATCACCATCAAAATATTTGTTCCAGGAGTCGGGGTTAGTGCCGATGTCGTTGAGTTCAATCCCCTAAATAATATATATTATTTGTTCCATTAAAAATTTAACTTCTGGGAACTAGAAGTATAGTTCAGTGGTAGAGACTCACCTACCATGTTTAAGACCCTGGATTCAATCCCCAGCATTTAAAAAAAAAAAAAATTGCAGTGTTATTCATTATACTAGAACTATAAAGAGAAACTACCGGAGTCTGTCTTCCAGAAATTTCATATTAGCATTGTAATTTTTTTTTTTTTCCTTTGAGACAGGGTCTTGCTATGTGGTTCAGGCTGGCCTTAAACTCATTATATAGCCCAGGCTGACCTCAAATTCACTGCAATCCTGCCTCGGCCTCCTAAATACTGAGATTACAAGCATGTACCACCATGCCTGTAATTTTTTCAATGTAGTATTTGATTTCACTCTAGTCAATAAAAATCCTTGATCCTGTATGAATTTTGCATAACCAAGCCTTTCAAAAGGGGGGTTTCTGACAGGTGTGGTGACACATGACTGTAATCCTAGCACTCAAAAAGCTGAGGTAGGAGGATCCCATTTGAGCCCAGCCTGAACTGCACAATGAGACCTTGTCTCAAAAGAAAAAAAAATAGGGGGTCTTCCTGGTCTTTGGGAGTATTTTTCTTTAATTAACTGATTCTTTAATTAATATATTTCTGTTGTATTCGGGTTCTCCAGAGAAACAGAACAGGAAGATGAATGAATGGATGGTTAGATAGATAATGAGGAAGTAGCTCAACCCATTCTAGAGGCTGACAAGAGCAGCAGAATAAGTCAGCAAGCAGGAGACCTGGAAGACTAACAGTGAAGTTGCCGTCAGAAAGCCAGCAGGCTGGAGAACAAGGAAGAGCTGAAGTTTCAGTTCAGGTCCTCAAGTTGACTGTAAATGTCTATCCAGGTGCACACATTGAAATTTTCTGGACATTGATGATGTAATGTGGATCATGTGTTGCTTTTGTTTTCTTTTTTTTCCTCTTTTTTTTGGTTTTTTGAGACAGGGTCTCACTATGTAGTTGAGACTGATCTGGAACTATGTAGCCCAGACTGGTCTCAAACTCACAGCAATCCTGCTGTCTCAGCCTCCTGAGTGCTGGGATTACAGGGGTGCGCCACCACACCCGGTGCTTTTGTTTTCTTTTTGCAGTACTTGGGATTGAACACAGGGGTCTTGTGTGTGGTAGGTAAGCACTTTAGCCCTGAGCTATACCCCCAGCCCTTATTTATTTTAATGTATTTATTTTTGTATGTGAAAGCAAAAATACTGGGGATTAAATCCAGGGACTTTACACTGAGCTGTATGCCCAACCCTTTTGTTTGTTTTATTTTTTAGTTTGAGACAGAATCTTGCTAAATTGCCTACCTAGGCTGGGCCCAAATTTGCAGTCTTCCTGCTTCAGCCTCCCCAAATGCTAGGATTATAGGCATGTGCTGCTACTATGAGATGCAATAAATTATGTTGTCTCCAGATGAATTAACGTGAAATTAGAGCAACATTTCCCAAAAGTGTTCTATGAAACAGTAGTCTACCATAAGGCACTATAAAAGAATTCCATTTCCAAATACATTTTCGGAATTTGGAATTTGGAAGCACTCCTATTTTGGGCTGCTATTGAACAGGGAAATGATTTCTGACCAGAAGGAGCCTGTGCTGCAGCTAACTGGGTAGCAAACAAAAGACTCCTCCTAGGTCTGACCCCTCTGGCACCTAAAACATGTCCAGCAAGTCTGAGTGAGCCCCCTGACATGTTTTCCTCCATTGTCCTTTGTTCTCAGTAGGGTTTCTGTGACCCCTGCTTCCCCCCATATGTAAATAAGGTGAATCCTAGTGTACATTTCTATCCAATTGTATAAGCTGTATCTACCTCAACCAATGAACTAACATTGAGTGTCTTGCCACTGTATCCTTACCCCTCCTTTCCCAAATCTATATAAATAAACCCTGTTCACTACCCAGACAAGGCTGATCATTTTGTAGAGAAGTCCCTGGTCAGTCCACTATTGAAATAAGCCTGCCTCCAACTTCCAGGGTGTGTGCTTAATTCTTCTTGGCTTGACTCTGTTATACCACCTAGAGTTACAACACTGTGAGTTATATTTGCTACAATACTATAACAAAATATGATAGACCATGCAGCTTATAAGCAGACATTTATTTCTTACAGTTCCAGAGGCTGGGAAGGCCTATGATATGGATGTGGCAGATTCAGTTCTTGGTGAGGGTTCTTCTGGCTGGTAGATGACCTGTTTGGTATTTATTTGTTTATTTGTTTGTTTTTTGAGACAGGGTCTCACTATGTAGTTGACACTGACCTGGAACTTACTAAGTAGCCCAGGCTGGTCTCGAACTCACAACAAACCTCCTGCCTCAGCCTCCAGAGTGCTAAGATTACAGGTGTGCGCCACCACACCTGGCTAGGTTTTGTTTTGTTTTGTTTTGTTTTTCCAGTACCAGAAATCAAACTCAGGACATTGCATTTGCCAGCAGGTGC